GTTTTTTTGTGACCAGTAGATTTAAGAATGCATTTTTTAATTGTATACATGCCTCTATTTGTTGTGTTTTATTACGACACACGTGTTGGAGGGTCCTTCAAACTTTTTGTGTTTTCTTTGTAACTTTCTATCCTGATAAATTTCTACGAGTCTCAAGATAAAAATTGATATTATACAAATTTTAAGTGGATTACTTAATAATCGAATTCAGTTTTATACTTATACACGGAGAAAACTAAATTTTTATGGCAAAGAAAAAATTACAATTTTCGATTGTAAATGACTGAATTTGCCGTAGAAATAGTAGAATTTATTAGGTAACTTGTAATAATCTCAACTTTGACATGTTTCTTTAAAAATTATTTCAAGTTTCTTAAATATTACAATTAAATTTGTAATATCAACTAAAATATCTAGTAGATTTATATCTGCTGTTATTTTATTTTGACAAGTTCGGGTCCAAAAGATAATTTTTATTATTTTCGCTAACGGAGCAACGGAATAGTGAGGTAAATTGCAAATATTGCTCTAATATTTAAGTAAATTTTCCTATTTCATTTTCTCCGTGTTATCTCGGCCGCTTTCCATAAAAAAAAGCATTGCTATGACTCTCCCGTAAGCGGACACTCATGTACGGACACAACATTTTCGACAAAAATCACTTTTGAATGGACAACTCAAAAATAAATCGAATTATCTCCTTTTATTTGAGAGCTATAGGTAACATATCAGCCCTATTCAAAAGAAACACCTACAGTTGCCTAAACCACTATTTAGAACAAACAGAATAGCTCAAAACCCCAACGCCAAGACACGACACTGTAGTTGTTCGAAGCACTGTTCGGTAACAAAGTTACCTTCTTCAGGGACTGCAGTGTCATGTTTTGGCGTTGGGGTTTTGAGTTATTCTGTTTGTTCTACAACAACCCCAAAGCTTTTCCAATCTTCATATTTAAACCAATATGGTCGAATGAGTTCCCAGAAGTATTACAATCTCAACAGTTTTAAATACATACATACATACATAACAATCTTGTGATTGTTTTATTCTTTTAGTCGTTACCTATTCGATAGTGAATCAAACAATCGATAGCACCGAGATCATTTGTAAGGAAAATTTGACAAATGACACTACATCAATTCGTTTCTAAATAAATGCATATATTCCTTAAGCTACCTCACCTACAAGACGAATTTTACGTTTAATTTTCAGTTTAGAGTTTAATATAATATATTTTTGTTTCTTGCTCCTGTTTGTGAAAGTAAATATATACAAATGTACAATACATGCACACAGCTTTAAATGCTATCTAACTTAAATTTGAATTATCCCTTTCTTTTAAACGTAATGTGTAATATTATTATTTAAAATACATAAATAATAAATAACAGTATTAATATAAATATGTAAGTATGTTATAAGTATAAGTATTTTTCTTAACATAAATCTCCCTTAAGTGGAAATTTCTCTTGAGCAGACATTTTTCGTAATCCCGTCGAAGTCCGCTCATGAGAGATTCCACTCTAAGGAATCAGTGTCAATATGTACCTAAATATGTTAAATAATACAGCGGTTTAATTAGTACAAAAGAAACAGCATTTTCTGTAAGCATAAGTAATATTATAAATTGCTATTCTAAATGGAATTTTTGTTTTTAGTTTGTTTTGAATCAGTATACTTTTAATGATTAAACATTTTCCTTGCAATTTATAATTATTACAACAGCTAACCTCTAAATATTATAATGCGTTTTTATTATTTGTAAATTACCTTATTTCCATATTGCACTGTTACTGGCCCGTTCAATACTACTAATATATTTCCAGGCAACTGTGCTAAATTAAACGACTTTTCTTGATGACACATATCTGTGAAGGACACGAAAAAAATAGGCTTTTTTACTGTGTTATCGCATGACCTACGGCGTTTGTATAAATCCAACGTTGCCACTTTGTTCACTATCAAAAAGAAATAAATTATTGTTAGACAACGAATAAAACAGAAATGTAATACTGCAAAACTATTTTTATATCTAACACATCTGGAATATACGATAAATATCATAAAATGCCTTACCCATTTCTTAAGGGTTCCGTTTTTATAAGCAAAACTTTAATTATCTTGTTATCTCTGTATCTGACAAAACAAAAACAATTATACCATTCGTTTGGTTAAAAGACAATACCAGAAATTATCGTATCATAAAAATAATTTTAAAGTACGTACATATAACAACTTTTACAAGCAAATTTATAATTTGTTAGAATTGTATAGTTACACCAAGAATAATGCCAAAAATAAAGAAAAACGTTAGATCTATGTAATTATGGGGAGTGTAAATATAAATACATAATTTTTACACAGCAAAATCGGTGTAAAGCAAGTAAAAAAATAAGTTCGAAAATTTCCGATTGTAACAATATGATGTTGAAGCATAAAATATACCTATATTCAAATATAGATTCAAATGACAAAAAAAATAAACTGACCATTAACCACTAGTACTGCTATAGAGTCACTTCTCGCGCATGATCATCATCATCATCCTCATCAAGGAGTCGTCAGTCCTAAGACTGATAGCATCCCAACCTCCATTTTTTCTACCCTCAGCTAATCTTCGTATTTTCCTAAAACTAGGATATTCAACATTCCATTTGTGAACAGTAATTTAATAGAATGCCTATTAGCTCCTGTTTCTGTCTGAGAAGGTGTCCTATCTTGCCTGTTTCTTGTTGACTTCCACGCATCCTTTGTTTTCCTACTATTTCTAATACCTCATTATTTCTAACCTTCTCTATCCACTGTAAATTCATCATTCCCTTATGACACCACATGGATACTAGTACGTTCTGTTTATAGTCCTCCGAAACTTTCCCGTCCCTTATATGTGATTTTACTATCCTAAACATACGATCTCTAACCTTTTGGCATGGATATTTTAAAATTTCCGCCTGTATACCATCTATACCTAGAGGTATCTTAGCTCATCTACTTATTCCCACAATTTCTTCCTTCAATAATGTATCTGCTCCTGACCTACGTATAGGTTCTCTAAATATTCTTTTCATTTAACTGCCTTTTTCTCATTTGCTATCAAAATGTAACTTCTGCCTCGTTTCTTATATTATTACCTACTACTGTACTCTACATTCTATAAAGCTCCATTTCCTTATATTTCAAACATCAGCTGTTTAATCTGCATCAAACTTTTCTTTGATTTCTTTATACCTCATATCAATGTACTATTCCCTAGTCGTCTTAGACTTAATTATTTCCCGCTTTATCGCCTTACATCTTTTTTAACCTTCTTCGTGTAACCTGTTCCTGTATTTCTCTGTTCTGTTAATCCTACAATTTCGTTTATTATCTGGAGTTTCCTACTTTTGTTTTGTTTAAGACCTAATAGATCTCTCCTTACGAAATCTAGACATGTTTTAATGGCGCATAATAGCAAATAAAAATTCTAAATGACACTGTTCAAATTCTTTAAGAATTGTGCATTACAGTTTAAAGGATCTCCATGGTGATAAAGTTTACAACGTGGGCATAATCCAAAGTCGCATTACAGAAATAATAAGAGCACGTTATACTATAAGTAAATAATAGTAAATCTTACAATTCTCCTGCCTGTTCCCCAAGGCGTCAGTTTCGGAAACTTGGGAGGTTATTTTTCAGTCAAGTTGTTTGTTTGCTTCGAGCGGTTAACATTTGAATTGAATTTATATTTGATTTAGCTTGACTGAAAAGAAATTTTCGATTTATAGAATGGTAGAGTTGTCAGAAAGTAGAACGTAAGACGCCTACGTATCATGTCAATATTTGTTTTCTTGTCAGGCTTTTAATCTTGAGAAAATGATACAAATACGTTGAAGTAATAACGCTATACTAGGAATAAAGTAACGCAACTTGCTCAGAGCACGACTTTTTAAATAAATAATGAGTGAAATCATTAGATAAGGAATGGTCACTACGCAAGGGACAGGATCATCACTTTAAATCGTTGAAAAATATCAGGAATGTACGCAAAAGAAATTTTCTCCACTAAATTTTGATAGGAAATTGTTTCTGAGGTAATAAGAAAATTTTAATTTCATTAGGTAAGGGATTATCATCAGGCAAGGGACGGGGTCACCATCTTAATAAATCGTTAATAAATATGAGGAATGTGTGCAGAAGAAATTTGCCCCACTAATTCTGATAAGAAATTGTTTCTGATGTAATAATAAAACCTTAATTTCATAATCTTTACGTGGATGAAGAAGTTACATTAAATGTTTTCGTTTTCAATTAAAATCTAGACATTTAACATAGTCTTGGATTTAGGTCCAACAAGATGGCAAGCCGTGACTGGTCACTGGTCAAACAAAGTAAAATATGTATGAAACCCTACTTTTTATATTAATTGACTTATAAACCATTGCCAAAATATATTACAAATAGCCCAGTCATTTTATACAAAGAAAGATCAAACATCTAAAAAAATCTTAAAATTTTGGAGTTAGGCATTTTCTTTAGAGGATACCTAATCCTATTGGCCTAATACAAGAGTATATTAATCATAACTTTATTGACTGTTATTTGTTTTCGTTAATTTTCATTTAATTTTTGATCAAAAAACCCTTTATGGGCTTCCTCTATATTATTTTTAATGTTAATGTTGCTAAAATCAGTAGTACAAATCCATCAGATTCTTATTCGTCCAAGTATTATAAAAAATTGCTAATGAGTAACTAAATTACCTTCCATTTATTTAAAACAATTAACGAATTGCAAATCTATCAGAATCATTAGGCATCAAGAAACATCATCTGCGATTCATTTCTTTATCCGTTAAAACTGAATAATAGTAAGCGTTGAGTTTATAATCTATAAACACCCTATACAAAATGCAATTCTAATTAATTGAAAAGCTGATTAATTTTGACTTTACATTTCATTCGTATTTTACAATGGTCAATTTAAATAAAAAAGATCGACCGAAAACCCGTTGTTTAATATAAGTGCCTGCAAGTCCAGCGCAGCACACCGTTTCCGTTGAGCAAAAGGTGGACGTCGTTCTTTTTTTTTATTTTAATAGAATGTGACTAATCGGTGTAGTGCATGGACACACCTGGAATTGGATTTTCAATCCTATTGTAGAGCATCCACGACCGCGGCGTTCCGTCTGTCTGCATCATTCGGGAAACAATTTCACCCTTCGTTTGCCAAAATGTCGGATAAAACACTTTACCTTTACAAGCTGGACAAGCCATGACTTTTAATGGGCAATAAAATATAGCGAAAAACTTGCAAAAAGTGAAACATTAGAGTCGTAGCTCGACTAGAGATATACCGAGTGAAAATTAGGGATGAGCACAGACCAAGACCAAGACTGTGTTGGTCTTAGTGTTGCTCAAATATTTTTAGCATTTGGTCTTGGTTTTTTGGTTTAGTTTAGCGTATTTGGTCTTAGTCTTGCATATTCGGTCTTGATTTCAGTTTTAGTCTTGTTCATGCGGTCTTGATTTTAGTCTTGGTCTTGTTCGTTTGGTATTGGTCTCAATCTTGCAAAAATGCTTGTCACTGGTGAAAAAATACGATTTTACTATAAAATGAATGAGTGCTTCAAGATACTACCTTGTTATTAAAGACGATTATAATAATAATAGGTACCTTTTGGCTTACTTTACCCCGTCTTACGCGTGGGTATCCGTTATGGGATTGTAAATTCGAATCTCGGCAATCAATATCAGTTAGATATGTAGTATATGTATTTCTTATTAACCCTATACACAATTGTGAACTAACACAATTATTAGAAGATTAAATGGACTCAGTTCATAAGAAAAAAGATTACACATTGTGGAAAACACCCAACCGCAACAAAATGTGAATTTTTATTAAAGACCAGACTTTGTCAAATTTTATGTAAACTTCGTACAACATTTTTCACAGTACTGAAGGATCTATAAATCATACTTGGATAAGGACGATTTTTCTCATTTCAATTTTAGAAAAATAAGAATTATTTTTAAGACTTCTTGTTACGTTGTTAGACAATTTCCGAAGTAGTGAATTTTTGGTCCATATATCCGTTTAATTACAAAATGCAAATTTTATGAAATCAAAGCAGGTGTAACAATCATTCGTTTTATAATTTATGTCTTCATACTTTACGTGTTGGTCAGCAAGATACAATAATGATTCTGTCAACACTTTCACTCTCTCTTTCGCTTTCCATTAATCATTCGTTTATGCAAGGCATTTCGCTGCTTATCAGTTGTCTCTAGATTTATGGTACGGAAATGTTGACGACATACATATATATATATATATATAATTTACCTGAAGATCAGGTACGTACCTAGTTGATGGTTTTGATTGCATAGAGAGACAATAGATTCTTTTGAATGTAACTCAAGAAACAAGGAAATCATAAATTTAGTTTTCAGACAAATTATTACATACAAAATTTAAATGAGACTTACCTCTTACCTTTTGTAGCTGATGTTGTTTACTATAGTGCAAGTTAGAATCAATTGGAAACTGAAACAAAAAAAAAGTCGTAAGTTCAACATTTTACTTCAGTGTAGATATGTTTCGAGCACGGTGTTGTACGGGTACGAAACATGGACAGTGGACGCGGCGGAAAAGAAAAGGTTAGAAGCATTCGAAATGTGGTGTTACAAGCGAATCATGAGGATAACGTGGATAGAAAAGGTTATAAATGAAGAGGCATTAGAAAGAATAGGAGAACAGAGGACTCTATGTAAGTCAATAAGAAATAGACGAGATAGGTTGGTAGGACACCTTCTTAGGCATGAAGGTCTAGTCAGAGACATATTAGAGGCAGAAACAGGAGTTAGGAGGGGTAGAGGNCACGATAATCGTAAAACATTAAAACAATGAAACAGCTTTCAACTTTGATTTGTTAATTTCCAAAATCAGTCCCCACATACCATTAAATAAAGAAACTAACACATCTCCTAGTTAAACAAGGTTAATAAAGTTTATTCCAACACGTTCACCGAATTATGTATTTTTGTTTGTACGACATAAAAAGAAAAATTATCAACAAAGAAATGAGTAATTTATAGGTATGCTCGGTAAACAGTTTATCGCATCCGGATGTGCATCACTATGTGCACTACTGCAACAATGAGCTTCTCAGCAGTCGTCGAAGGTACTGATGAGTGCCAAGCGCTTTAATGTGCGATTTTATTGTCGTTGTTTTGCTACTAAACGATCTCTATTTTAATAGTCGTCGTGACGATAACCCGCTGTTTATGATAACCCTCTCTGGAAGCATGCACCTACATACACATTAGATGGTAGGTACCTGCAATAACTATTAATATATTCATACAAGAGATGCGCATATTAGAAGTTATTTCTATTTAAAATACAAATATACAAAATCTAAAATATATAATTTTCATTTTAAGCATGTGGTACATAGGAGTAAGATTTTTTTGGTATTATTCTATTTACGATGTTGTTGTAATTGTATTTAACAAGAACTATTTAATTCTTTTAAGCTCATGAAAACTTGTACACTTAACATGGAGTACGGTCCTGACAAAAATCGTCACCCTAGACAAAAATTTTCAGTCTCTCTCTAGTCTCTCGGAGTCTTTCAGCGTCTCTGAGAGCGTCTCTCACAGTCTTTCACAGTCTCTCAGTTACTGCCTCGGTGTTTTTATGGATCCCTCAGTCTCTGTATGAGAGAATCGAACGATGTCTATCGAGACACCACTTATTGAGAGATTCGAGTCTCTCGTTCAGAGATTCGAGTCTCTCGTTTAGAGACTGATACGAAATGAGGAACTCTCTAGGAGCGACTCGAATCTCTCGTTCAGAGACGCTAAACAGTGTTTTTGCGAGTCTCTCTCATGGACACCAGAGTGACGGAGAGTCGAGTCTCGCTTTCAGAGACTCTGAGAGACTGAACATTTTTATCTCGGGTAAATTTCTATATTTAAAATAATTTATAAGTTTCATTGTTTATTCGTTGGCGAGATCATCATAAAACTCAAGCTGTAATTCTAGATTCAGGTTCAAATGTCGAATTCGTAAATTAAAATAATATCAAACGACTGTCAGACTGTACCTCTTATCTCACCCGAAGGACCAGTCTAAAAGGTCTCGGCGAACAGGTTCTAAATAATAATTATTTTGCTTTTAGTGGGCCACGCGAGTGTGCTTTGCACCTGTCCTCAATAATTATCCGCATTCGCTAATTACAAGGGTCCTTTCTTCCTAATGGGACGTAGTCGTCGCCGCGCACGGACTGCTACGATAGCTGTGCGGCTATGCCGAAGTACCGCCGACTAAAACCGCGGTTCCCGGTGTGCTTATAAGTACTCTCTGCTTCAACTCGGACCCGTCCGTCGCCGACGAATGCTCGAGGGGGTGCGGAATCAGATAAAGATAATTAACACAACAAATGCACATATCTGACCGTAATCTAATGAAGGGACCGCATCGGTAATAATTTACTAACGGACGGGACGGAACGTTGCGTTGTAATGAAGCCGTAGAACCTACGTCTTAAATCGCCATGCTCCGACTTAATTGTAATATCCACGAAATAAACAAAAGGAATTGATTGGTTCGATTTGAGAATTAATGTACCTATTATTGCAAGTATTGTAAGCATTATGATCCTATAATAAAATAGCCTTTTGCCTGAGGCTTCGTTCATTTGTCTGTTATTAAGTTACAAGCATCCGTGCATCCTTCAGGAAATCCCATTTTATTTGTATTAAAAGACTTGTCTATGATCAGATGGAGATGGCGATCCCATCAACTCGAGTACCCGAGATGACTTACTAGTGTCGGAGTACAGGTAATTCGACCGGGAGGGGGACTTGTTTCTCAAACCTTCGACCAGTGATGGAGACTGGAACTATGGGAGGTCCGAGCAGCCTGGAGGCTAGATTGTTGGTGGTTATGGTTAGAACCTGCATCCTGGAGGAAGGGATATCCTGCTCGGGTATATACTAAACCTGCTAAGCCTGGTACGAGCTAAAGAGATTTTGCTTACCCACCTAGATCCAAGATAAAACTGACAGCAATGGTTTCCGCATCCATGTGGTGATTGAGCAAATCTAAATCCTTCAATCCCTAGACAAAAATTTTCAGTCTCTCTTCAGTCTCTCAGAGTCTTTCAGCGTCTCTAAGAGCGTCTTTCACAGTCTCTCAGTTATTGCCCAGGTGTTTTTATAGATCTCCCACAAACTCTGTATGAGACGATAAAATTGTTAATTCAGAGATTCGGGTCTCTCACAGAGAGACTGATTGAATAAATCTGAAAAATTGAGAGACTCGAGTCTCTCGTAGAAAGACTGGGATCTCTGAAATATGTTGAACTTTTAAACATGCCTGTCGAGACACCACTTATTGAGAGATTCGAGTCTGTCGTTCAGAGACTGGATACGAAATGAGGATCTCTCTATGAACGACTCGAGTCTTTCGTTCAGAGACTCTAAACAGTTTTTTTGACAGTCTCTCTCAGTGACACCAGAGAGACCCGATGAGAGACGGAGACTCGAGTCTCGCTTTCAAAGACTCTGACAGACTGAACATTTTATCTCGGGATGCGCCATGGTTAGTAAAACACAAGGTAGGAATCTAAATAAAACAGGAGCAACCCCCCAGTTATGACGATAGGTTGAATTCTGTGAAAGTGTGGACTACTGTTGTTAAACTTTCAAGAAATTTACAGTCTTATTTTGTCGAACGACTTGTACCTTCATTAATAAGGACTGTCTAAATTTTAGTAAGCCTTATTTCTTGATTGAGTTTATCTTTGCAGCTGAGTTTCAACAAATGTGTTAAAAAGCGTTAACCTTCATGATGATATTTTATTTAGATACCTGATAGGTCTAGAAGACAGAAGCGTGAAAGCCTGGTTGGACACATATTAGAATCAAGAAGTTCCCAAATAATTAAATATTTAGCTTGCTTCGTCTGGAGGTGCTATATGATGATAACGAAGTTTTCTCTTTAAACGTTGTGGACAAATGACTTTATGATATTATCGTAATTAAACATACATTTACACACAGGAAGGCAGGAATATTTATACTGAACGTATGCTTTTGGAAAGCAATATTTAAAAATTAGACCCCTTTTTGCAAAACTGTAGTTGATGGTTATAAGCATTAGTTTGAAAATCAGAAATATATGGTAGGCAAAAAATTTACAATAATAAAGTTTATTTTGTTTCTCAATAACTTTGCGAATGACACCGAAAGGAAAACGATTTTAAAAATGATTTTAGTAGAGAAATAATGCGTTACTTCATGTGTATCTATAAAATGGTTTAAAATTTCCCACAAACAAAGAAACATACGCCGCATGTTAATCTCCTGTTTTTTCAAGGAGAGCTATCCTAGAATGCTTGAGAATAAGTACGTTACATGTACGTGAAGTTTATAATAAATGTAAAAGACGGAAAACACGTAGAAAACATTTGTAAGCAAGGAAAAGGTTTTTTATTTTTATTTTTTTGCGGACTGTATGCAACTTGTTTGAAGTACAGATTTCTTTGTGTCTTTGTTTCTGCAGAAAACAACCTTTTGAATATTAAGTAGCTTCTATTATTTTAAACTGTAGCATGTATGTAACAGGTATTTTTTATTAATGTTGAAAAAATAAGAGGAGTTTTCTTGGCTGCGCATAGGTTTAATTGATAATACACTAACAGTCGCTTGCGGCTTTGTCCTGTCGAAAGTTTATTTTATCGCAAACCCCCATTTTACACCTTTAGTAGTATTTTGGAAACTCATTATTCATGAATTATATCCCTTTTTTCTTTTAAAATAAACTGCATTAAAAATTATTGAAGGGTTGGTGGGGGTTTAGAGAAGTTAAAATGTGGGATTACGTGTATTTTTGGATAAGAAACTCGAAAAACAAATTGTTGAAAAATTAAAAAAAAAAGTTTTAGATCATCAAAACTATCCTACATTTTAAATCATTTTAAATTGGAACCAACCACACAAGCACATTTACAAAATTCATTGAAATCGGTTGAGTGATTTCGGAAATTATCTTATTATTACTAGGTTGTTATTCATTATTTTGTTAGACATCACAAGCAAATGTGGTTTAAATATAATAAATAATTGTAATTTAACTAGTTACTATAGACTTTAGCATTCTGTTATTTTATAAATACAAACTGACTTCATTCTTCCTCTTGTGGTATACATTTTTATTGATGGCGTTGAAACTCCATTATTAATAAGGACTTAGATTACACATGTATTAAAAAATCATAACCAGATTGTAAATTGATCATGTTATAAAATAGTCGACCATTTTGAGGAATAGTAACATATTCTGGAATAAAATAATTCGAAGTGGTCTGTATTCTGTTTAAACTGCCAGAAGCGGATCGCGATTTCGACCTTTTCGGATCTCATCAGCGTGTCGCAGGCAGCCCGACAGAACACAGACCAACTTTTACCTGGTGTCTTAACAGCGCGTTTTAGAAAATACCACAAATGGCGCGGTAAACGCCATCTGTAGTACGTTGC